CCCCAAAACCCCAAAACCCCAAAACCCCAAAACCCCAGAGAGGAGTCCAGCTTGAAAATCTGACATTCTGACAACGAACAAAAATTATGAAATTTAAGATAAACTAAAATTTAGTTTTCTCAAGTTAAATAAATTTTCACAGCTTCGATTCAGAATTTCTAAGACTGGTTGAAAGAGAGCCTTAAAGAGATATAAAAGCTCTAGATGCTTGGAGGGCATTCATTAAAGACTATTTCTTGGGTAGAGCTCAAGAAGTGTGAAACAATCTTAATGGTATATGATTTTTACCCACATGTACTTTCACACTATTGAGCTAATAAATTAATTGCTTCAGGGTATATTTAAACCGGAAATTTAAGAGTCCTGATGAAGGCTTTCATGGGTGTAAAATTGGCTCAAACTATTCTTTTTGATATTACCAATCTAGCATTCGCTTCGTTAGCTTTACAAAACGGGAGTTGCACACTTCTCAAATGTCAATGAAATTTTGACAATATCATTTAAAATGAAGTCCGAATTTCATAGAAGAATGTTTCAGGCTTTATGAGCTGAGACTATTTCCTCCCTAATTGATTCTTTTTAGCTAAATTCTGCACTATTCGGGTAAACAGAGGTCAAGCAGCTACATACAAGCTCTCGTGCTTGTATGAGACTCCATTTCTCCACTCTAAATGCCAACTTTATGAAATTTTTACTCTAAAAGAACAACATTTCTTCACAAAATATGAAAATCTGAGAGGTATGAATTTTGGTTGGGATTTGATTTATTGGTAGGTATGAATTTTTGATGGGCTGTTTTATCCCATTTCTTAAGATTCTTAGCTGGAGCCAGACAATTAGTTGAACCCTGCTAAAATAATCAACCCTACCATAAATTCTCTGTTTTTGTGAAAAATTTGAAGATGATGGATCAGCTACAAAGAATGCGGTTTATGAGACATTAATAAAGAGGAGGAAGAAGATAAAGAATATAAGAAATGCTAGTATTTTGTGTTTAAATGAGGTTTGATGAAGATATAGAGAGTTTATGAGAAGATGGAATCAAATTCTGAAGGGTTAGAGTATAAATATGTAAAGGATAGTAAAAACAAGGTTTACACAAAAAAGTTTTTCTTGAAATTTACCATGTCGATGATCAAGTACTTAGAGATTGAATACGAATAACGGTTTTCTAAAGGTGATCATTAGAATTTTAGAAGGGCTAGGATTCTTTACTTGAACAAATTTTTGATGGTTTTATTCAGTGCACTTCGAGAGAAAATTTAAGCATACTAATTTAAGAGAGTAATTTTAATAAATCTACCATTGTGAGTTTAAATGGAATACATCTAATCATCATATTCACTAATAAAGCATATATAGCGTTAATATTCAAAAACCCTTTAACCACCCTTAAAATCTCTCCTTACACACCCAAAACTTCCACCTCAACTCTTAAAACCCCACTTCGAACCCCTCAAAATCTCTCCAAACCTCCTAAAACTCACTCCTAGACCTACTTTCCCCATATCCCAATTCCTCCACTCCTCCCACTCCAAAAAATTCCCAATAACCCCCTTTCCTATTTTAGGCTTACTCAAGTTCCAAAATCTCCATAAAATCCCTCTAAAACCACTTATTTCAACTCTTTAACATCCACCTGGGGTTTTGGGGTTTTGGGGTTTTGGGGTTTTGGGG